CCCCGCCGGTAGCCCCCCCGCTCCTCATGCACCCGCCGCTGCCCACTGCCGGGCTTCGTCTCCCCGGGTCCCCTCTCTGGCACCCTCCCCTCAGGGGCTCCCCCCCTGCTCTCCCTGAGGAGCTCCAGGTGTCCCTTGCCCGCCCCTTTGCCATCCTCCGCAAAACAGCCTGTCACGGGCGCTTCTGCCTGGCCGTGGCCTTTTGCTGGTGTCCAGGTGGAAGGTGGCCTTGGAAGAGCGCTGGGCCCGCACCTCTGTGCGAAGCCGGCGCCATCACCTTTGCATGCTGAAGTCTGTGTGGGACCAGTCTTCCTACACAGAGGCTTTTGGAAAAGAAAAGCCTTTATTCTCATGTAGGTGCTTAGCTTCGGAAAAGTGAAACAGGAATGAATGTTCTTCAGCTGAGACAGACCATCCCGTACTTCATTTGAAATGTGGGACTTGCTGGTTTTGCTTTACCGTGTGCGAGGCAGTTAGTTTTATTACCTGTTGCATTTGTGGCACTGCTCTCATGTTAATTTTTATGATTTTCCTTTATACTGTAAGTTAATAAGTAACTGTGGTGATGTCACCTGTTCCTGTTTCTGCTTACTAAAAGCCTGGTAACCTTTATCCACAAAGCAGACTTTCAGAGACTTGAAACGTTTGCTTACATGAGACAGAGCTAGGGCATCTGGATCATGCAGAGGACTACTTTAGTTGTAAGGTTGGAAATTAGAGTTAGGTTTTATTTCTCCTAATTTTATAGGAAAATATTTTGAATGTGTGCAATATAGCAATAGTGAGGTTCTAAGCAGGGGTCTCCTGTCCACTTCTTTTCTCTTTCTGATGGGAGGGGGGAAAAGAGACAATGGGGCTATGATAAAGGTGATGTGTCTAGATCCTGCTTTGTAGCTTTATCCTTGCTGTTGCTGTCTCTGACTAGTAAATATTTTATATACTTAACCTTAACTGCTGTGAGAATTGATATCTTATGTTATTCTCCTTGCTCTCAAGTCTTCTAGCTATTGTAAGAGAGATCGCAATATTTTCTAGTACAAAAAAATGTCTTCCTTGGGATTTTGGGTTGATTGCCTAAAACTGAATTTATTACTAACTTTGTAGTAATGCTGACTGATAATGATACACAGGCAGCATTGGGTAGCTATGCCTGATTTACACTTGGATATTTTTCTTTGTGTATATAACCACTAAAAGATTTTAAATTTTTTTGTATGAAAGTAAGTTTTGCAGAACTACTGCTTGCATGTGTTGTGCTCAGCAGCTGCCCAGTAAATTGCTGTTGTACTCTGATGTGGTCTGATGGCTAAAAGGAATGCTGAGAGAGTTGTTCAATGGTGTGCTGTTTTTCATAAAG